TACCACATGAAACCATCTGCATTTCAGTCATAAAGTTTTAGCAACATATTAGATTGTATGAACATAAAAAACCTCTTTCAAACAATATTGCAGTCAGAATGGTGCATCAGATTCCGTAAAACCATGCGGAGTAGTATCATCTGACAGATCCTAAATCTAAGAATCTGATTCTCTATTTCTCTACTAAATTAAATCACAAGCAAACACTCGTTTCACAACCACGTATTAAATGGCTCTGCCTTGCCCCTCTACCAACAGATAGACACACTTCCTAGAACCCGTTTCTGTGTTTGTTTCTAACTTTTCTCTACGCTGGCATATTTTTCGCTTGAGCTGGCACCAGTCGATCAGTACATTTCTACTTCAGCTGTTCAAGCAGCAGCTAGCAGGGCAGCCACAACAAACACAATTCTGGCAGCTCCTAATGTGTGTCCCTGCCTTTTATTCAGATGCTATTTACACAGTGTTTACATGTAGACCACGTAGCTTTTTATAAAGCTCGGAGCTTGGATTTTAAACGGAAAGCTTATTAGGCACAGGAGTATCTCAAATGAAATCAGAATAAGTAGCTACTTAAAATGCTTTGGAAGATGGAATCCACAGTAATATATTTTTATACACAGTTAGTGTTTGTCTCAAGTAAAAGAGAAAAATGGAATAGCAAATTCCAAGCAGTGAGATGTACTGGACACGGGAGTTTTACTGCTACACCACTTACCTACAGTAGAAAAAACAAGCCTTTCTTGTCTTAATTTCATAACGTATAAGAAATCATAAGCACACATTACAAATAGAAGCATGAATATAATTTCCTTAGCTAAATCACCAAGAAACATATATAGAAAGAGTACAATATATTCCTACTGTTATTTTTTTATTTCTGTCCCAAGAATTCCAGACAAACCAACTTAGACTGCCTTAAAAAACAGGTAGTTTTCTCTCTGTTCCCTTTTTAAAAAAAAAAAAAAAATTAAAAATTTGGGGTTTTTTTTTGTTGGGTTTTTTTTAATATGAGATGTAGGAATGTAAAGCTTCAAATCTGCAGTTTGTCTCAGACATTGGACTTCTAAGTTGGGTGACTTTCTCCTATAATAACCTGGAATTCTGTCTGGGAATTAAGCTATGAAACCTATCAACAATCTTTCCACCAAAATTTGTGTGTTCCTATGAAATGTTCTGATTAAGGTGAATTGAATTTGCACTGGCTTGCTCACAGTTTGAGTGTGCTGAACCAATCTTTTAACATTTTTCTATTTCCTCTTCAGTTTACTCATCTTCAAGTGTCTGTACCAATAATATAAGCTCTAGGAAAACATAAACTCTTTATTTTGTATTTACATTGCAGCTGTCTCTCCACTCTGCCTTTCTGGTCAAGTATTGCAGAGAGTATTCATTTAAAATAGACATAAATACACATCCTGCAAACGTGTGACCCCTCAACATCCCCCTGAATCTAATAAAACTTTTGCATCAATGCCATTTTACTCAGAGCAGAATGCTACAGACAGAGTTACCATTTCACCGTGCTCTTAGTGCATACAGTTCACACATGCAAGCAAAAGAGAAGATCTTACAGGTTGAGTATGAGAAATTTGGCTTACACTGCAAATTACTTCACTGAGAATTGAAATGGTCTTGGAATGGCATATGAGAAAGTTGAATAAAGAAGCTAAAACTTTGACCCTTGAAAGTAAATGCAACAAGTTGGAAAATTTTGAAAAGATTTTTTTGTTTACAGTTTTAGTTCAACTTTGCTTTACGCTGTTTGCATTAGTAATGAATATTTTTGCAACATTAATGATTCATATCAGATAGGAGTTATGTTGCAAAAATATTGCCTTAATATTTGGGTTATTAATTGCAGATTAAAGTAAGTTTCATCATGCTAGAGACAGCTTTCCTAAATTCTTTATCAAATTATGTTTTTCTGCTTAACCTAGTAAATTAAATCATATTAAATGTGTTGGGACGTCCGTATGGAATCTTTTAACTTTAAATTACTTGAAACACTTGACTAGTTGAACATTCAAAGGAATGGGATGAAGTCTATCTTACTGTAATACGCATCACCAGGAGAGGAATAAAAGTATATTAACATGAGGTTCTTTTTTTGGTGAGACCTCAGCTTCAAAACTCCAAGTCTTTTACATGTGCAATTCACAGCAATGTCTATGAACAGTGGTTTCAGAAAACTTTTTTATGCTGCTCTGGAGATGGTGGTTCAAAACCCAGTACATAATTAAATACATGGGTTAGATGTTACTAAGTGGTTAATGCATGTAAAATTTCCTTTGACAATTCAAATTTAAACTCACTTTAGTTCTTATAAATCTTGCAGGAGTATAATTGACTTAACGTTTTCTCCAGCACAGCTAATACATTACTTTCATTTCTATCTGGATTTTCATACAAAATAGAGTTAGGCCTGCCGAAAGGAATTAGTGATACCTGATAGCAAACACTGAAACATCTGGGGAAGACTGGGCTTTTGTTGGTTTTTTCTTTCTTAATCTTTCAGCTGTAGCCATATGTGTATGTAATTGATGACCTAAAAGGATGATCTGTTAATGCCAGGACAATAATTGCTAGTAAAATTAATCTGATCAATTCTGACACTATACTACTAGGATCATATGCAAATAAATTATTGTGTTATGAACTACATTTTTAGTCTGTTGTACATTAATTTTCTACATGCCATTTAATTAACAGAAAATGCATTCTTCTAAAATGCATCCTTCTGAGAGTTGAACAAACAAGGAAGAAGAAAGGCATTGCCTCTATGTGAATAGCTTCACATTCTCTGTTTTGCTGACTTGAATCAATAGTTATTTCTATTGAAATTAAGAATGACTTCGGATTTCCATACCTCTTTCTTCTGCTTATATCAGCTTAAAATATAGTCCTGAATTCAACATTAATTTCCCTTTTTTTTAAATTTGAGAATTTGTCTAGCACTTTAATTACTTATGATTTAATTACTCCATATTCGTGCATATTAAAATGATTACAGTACATATATTTATGTAAATATATGGGCCAAAAAACGAACTACCAGGTACTTCTTTTAGAAGTTAAAAATATACACTCATACTAAAAGTAAATAAATAACAACAAAAAAGCCCAAACACCAAAAATTTTCAATGGAATCCATAGAAAGTAGAGAAATGACAAATTTTATGTAAAGATCCTATTAAAAAAGTCACATATACAACTCTGAAATGTCTTTTTTTTTGTTGTTATTTTTCCTAGGTAATTGCAGCATTTCTTCTATGTAGTCACTTCTT